TGGGAGAACAGTTAGACAGGTTTGCACGGGCTAAATGGGACAGAGGTAAATGATGAGGTATGCACAACTTTGGAACAAAAGGGATCTGGGATACAGAGATTGAGGCATGGTTTGAAGGGGTTTCCCTTGGAAGTTCCTTCCTGACACTCCCCTTCCCCCAGAAGGAAATTTAAGATGCAGACTCCTATAAAATACATCAATTTTACTCCAAATCGCTTAACAAATGAGAACTCTGCAGGTCGTCTAATTGGAAATTATTTTATTATGTCGTTGTTAAGTACTGTCCAGTCGGTTCTGACTCAAGAGAGACCTTGTCTAGAGTTTCTTAGGAGTGGCTGGTGGGTTTGAACCATCGACCTCTAAGTTAGAAGTCTAGTGCTTATCCTATAGTGCTACATCAAAACTCATAATTTTAATATACAGTTTACATTACTATAAACGTTGTAATTAGCTTGGATCAGCATAAATGCTAACCCCTTGGCACCAAAATGCTGGCACAGGCTTTTGAGACCTTCCACTGTAAAGCTTTGCCTCACTTTCAACAACACGCCCTCTTTTTCTTTCTTTATCATTCCACCAAGGACTCCAGGTAGCTAGTGGATTGCCATCTGGGCTACTAACCACAAGGTCAGTAGTTGCAGTCCACCAGCCGCTCTTTGAGAAAGTTGAGGTTTTCTGCTTCCTTAAGATTTACAGTCAGAAACACCTACACAGGATCGTTATGAGTCAGAACAACTCGGTGGCAACACTGTAGTCACTACCCTGCTAGTAAATCCGTTTGGGGCTAGGGAGGCGGGAGGAGAGCAGGGACAGTTTTTTGACATGCGCAGTAGGGAGAAGCGTCATTCATTCTCTCACAAACTCAATAGGACCTTGCGCAGAGAGGTTCCTCCCGGCGCCGCGCGCCTAGTCGCGCGGGCATGCGCATGAGCGGAGCAGCCCGCGAGGGCGGAAGTGAGGCGCTGCTGTACGGGCCCCGGGCCTCAGCGCTTGCCTTGGGGTGGGCGAGTGACTGATATGGCGCCCTCCAGGAGTCGCCTGGTTTCCCTGACAATTTTGGGGTTATTGCTTTGTGGGGTTCCTTGGATCTACGGGCGGCGGAGCGACGTGCGCATCATCACGGACGAAAACTGGAAACAGTTGCTGAAAGGAGAGTGGATGATAGAATTGTGAGTGTGAGGCAGTTGCCTGGGGCCCCTCGGTCCGGCCCGGGTATTGGGTTCGAGCGTGGACTTTTGACCTCTTAACCTGCGCCCCTCATTCGGACCCCAGACAGCTCCTCTTCGGGATTCACAAACTCGTCTTTGGATCAGCCACGGTTTGCACCCACTCCCTCTTCGTTGCTTACTCGGGGATTTACTCAAAAAAGTTCTTGGAAAAATGGAATGAAAAGATATTGAAAACCTTCCACGAACTTTTTGAAGCCCCCGCTTAAGTTTCTACCAAAGTGTTTCTTTTCTAGGGCTAGGCTATTACGTTCCTCTTTAAATTCTCGAAAGTTTCTTCATGGCTTTGGAGTTGGGAGTGATGGGGGTCTGACTAATTTCCAAACATGTTTTAATTGTAAAATGGTCCTTTACAGATTTCTAGACTTTTCACCGAGGTTTGGAAAACAGGAAATTTAGCCGACTCTTCTCGCATTTTGTCTACTCCTTAAAAATAACCCATTTATAATGTAATTTGGGGACTTTTAGTTACTTTTCATTGTTTATTTTTTGTGAATTATGTACCTTTGTTTCTCATTGTAAATGCTGAGTACAATTGAATTGCTTTATTTTGCATCTTAAAAAAAAAAAAAAAAAAAACCCAAAAACTTTGCATCCATATCCCGTTTTTCCTTTGGGTGTGTTTTCTTTGGGTTGTGATATCTCTGCCTGCCTGTAAGTGGTATTGAATTAAACATAAAACTAGTGTATTCTGGAGTGTAACTATAAACGAACTCAAAAGTGTTCCAGATTATCATCAAGGGAAATCACTTTGTGTGTGATGCTTCCATTGTAATAAGTGAAGTACCTACCTTGGACAGTTTGTAGAGGATTGAAAATGATTGCTATATGCAAAGTGTTTGGTACAAAATGAACATTTACCTGGAAACCTCTACGGGGTCCCTATAAATTGGCACGTAGCAACGCTGGAATCTTGAAACACTGTTCCTTCTGCAGGGGCCTGTTTAACTGTAGGTACTCAACTCGGTGGGGTAGGATTGGTGAATATGAGTGGTATTCTTAGTGGGAATATAAAAACACCATTATTGTTAAGTGCCAGTTCATAGGAACCCTGTATGTGTATAATCTCCAATGTGTGAAACTTTAAGGAGCCATTAAAGCTTCGGTGGTGGTGGTGTTTATGTGAAACAGAACCCTAAATATCCTGGGTAACCTGCCCTGATACTTATTTAATGCTTTCCAAAGGGGTCCCCAGAATTAACAGAGTATAGCGTTGTTGTTGTGATGTGCCGTGGAGTCGGTTCCGACCCATAGCGATCCTGTACAGGGTTTCCGAGGCTGTAAATCTTTACGGGAGCAGAACGCCTCATCTTTCTCCCAGAGTATAGTGTAGTGGTTACGAGTTGGGCTGCGAACCTTAAGGTCAGCTGTTCCCCGGGAGAATGATGAGGCTTTCTGCTCCCGTAAAGATTTACAGCCCCGGAAACCCTATACAGGGTCGCTATGGGTCGGAACCGACTCCACGGCACATAACAACAACAAGGTTGTTGTTGCTAAGTGCCGTCGAGTCGGTTGCGACCCTGTATAGGGTTTCCGAGGAGTGACTGTGAGCTTGAACCACCGACCTTGCAGTTCAAACAGCTTTGCATTCACCCACAGCGCCACACCAGATGTTAGAACACTTGTCCCCCTACCCACTCCCCCTCCTTAAACAAAGGTTCAGGTGTTTTCCTCTATCATGGATGCAAGTAAAGCTGCCAGTTAGGGACGTAGGTGTACAGGTATAACACCCACATTTCCACGGGAGGACCCAAAAGTTGAATCAGTAGCTCTTGAGTCAAAATAGAGCATTTATATATATGCAGGTTAAGAAAAGTTTATGTTGTTTTTGTTGTTAAGTGCTGTTGAGTCGATTGCGACCCATAGCGACCCTGTATAGATAGGGTTTCCGAGGAGCAGCTTGGTGAGCTTGAAGTGCTGACCTTGCAGTTCAAACGGCTTTGGAGTCTGGCGCATTAACCCACAGCGCCACACCTGGAGATGCACATCAGAACAGCAATGAGATATCTTTTTACTCCAGCATTAATAGCAAAGTTAAAAAAAAACAAAGAACAACAAATGCTGGATAAGGTGCTCCATAATGCTTATGAATTCTTAGCAATATTAAGTCTATTACACATGTGAAGAAAATATCATGAAGTACATAGAAACTGTTCTTGTGTAGCCTTAATCCTTAATTCCTAATTCTTTCTGGTTTCTTAAAAGAATTAGAAGGTAACTTCTAGGGAAATCTTAGGGAAAAATCAGGGCATGGTAGGATGCTGTACACCAGTAGTGTTGTTGTTGTTGGTGGTGATGTACTGTGGAGTCAGTTGTAACTCATAGCAACCCTGCATAGGGTTTTCAAGACTGTAAATCTTTACAGGAGCAGAAAGCCTCATCTTTCTCCCGGGGAATGGCTGGTAGTTTTGAACTGCTGACCCTGAGGTTATCAGCCTGACTCATAACCACTATGCTACCAGAGCTTCTTGTGGGATATCAGTGGGATAATTAAAATGTTAATATGCTGTGCCACATAATTTGCAAACCAGAGGTCTTTAGAAAGGATAAAGAGGAGTCAAAAAGAATTTTCCTTGGCCTGCTTAGTGTTTGTGTGCGTGGCTAAATTTGAGGTGATGTTTTATAAGAAATGAAGTCTCCACCTTCTTTTGAATATAGGCTGCTGCACCAGGGCAGCCATTCTGTGGTAACAATGCTGAGTGGCGGTTGCCAGCTTTAAGATGGGCTGTGCATCCTTGTTCACCATGGTTCAGACCACTTCCCATTTTTCTTATATGACACTTTTCCTCATGACTCCAGCACTGTCACTGAAATTAGAGAACTCAAAATTTGGTGTTGGGTGTTTTGGTGGCTGCATTTTGATAAAGAAATTAAATTTTTTTTAATTTAAAAATTAAAACATTTTGCATGTAAAAATAGCCTTTTTGCCTGGTGTGGCACTGAGCTGAAGATAAGCACTGCATTGCTAGCCACAGGTCATTGGATGAAACCTACCAACTGGGTTCTCAGACATCCTATACTAGGTCTCTTATCAACTTGATGGAGTTCTGGTGTGATGCTGTGGCTTATGCATCAAACTTCAAAGTCCTTTGAACTGCAAGGTTTATGGTTCAAGCTCACCAGATGCTCTCTGGAATCCCTATACAGGGTCGCTATGGGTTGGAATCTACTGAAGGACACTTAACAACATCAGCTTGATGGCATGTAATAACACCAATATTTTTATGTGTGAAAAGGCCTTTGTGTCTTAAAAATGGCTATTATGTGATTAACTTCATATTTCTTGATTCCTAGTGTTAGGCTTACATTTAACATGCATGAGATTTACCACTTTGCCAGCTTCATTGTGTTTAGTAGAAAATGTTGTTAAGTGCCCCTGAGTCAGTTCTGACCCATAGAGACTGCCTCTATAGGGTTTCTGAGGAGCCACTGTTGAGCTTGAACTGCTGGCCTTGTGGTTCAAACGGACCTTGTGGTCTAGTGCTTATCATACAGTGCCACAAGTATTCCTCCAAAATTGTAAATTAAAAAAAATTGTCTCTAGAGAGATGGTCATATTGGATTAGAGTGCTTAATTTTGTAGCATAGTAACATTGTTGAAAACTGGATTGTTAGAAGGTAATTTAGAAGTTTATGCTTATCAGTAAGCTATATAAAGTCATGCTGTATATTTGCTTTGTGTGTATTTGTAAAATACTCATATATTGTTGGATATTCTCGAATCTTTAGCGCTTTGCTTTCTTTTTTAACAATATTTCGTAGTTATGCTCCATGGTGTCCTGCTTGTCAAAATCTTCAACCAGAATGGGAAAATTTTGCTGAATGGGGAGAAGATCTTGAAGTTAATGTTGCAAAAGTAGATGTCACAGAGCAGCCAGGTACTATATATAATTCTGTGGTTAGTTTTGTTTCTTTGCAGATAGAGTTGATATACTTATCTTATTTTCCATGTTAAGACTTCTCAACTCTTCTTTCATTAACTTTTGAAAATGTAAGGTGTGCAGCTAGTTAAGCTGACAGGCTCACTTCCTGAATGAGAGCTCAGTGTGCATTGGCTGCAAAAAGCAGCCTCCTTGGTTGTGTATGCCACACATTCCTTTTATGTGTTGCTCTAAGGGACCTTGGAGACATTACTTGCTTCCTGCTTGGTCAAATAAATGCTTTGGATCATTTTTGTTTATATCTCAGGGCCCAGGCTAGAGTGTAAGATGCCTTTGATAAGTTCAAGATCACTATGGAACTAGTGTGCCTTGACCAAAAATCGTTTGCATCCACGCCAAACTTCAGAATAAGGATCAACTAGTTGAGGTTCTTTGCAGGGTCAAGGTTAAAATCCATGAAAATAGAAGATCCAAATATCTGAAATTGGTTTCTCAGTGTTTGAAACAAGGTTAATAATAAATGTCAGCTGCTTGTAGCATAGTAGGTTATCAACTGACCTGCTAACTGAAAGGTTAATAGTTTGAATCTACCAGTTACTCCAAGGGGGAAAGCTGTGGCTTTCTGCTCCTATAAAGGTTTACAGCCTCAGAAACTCTATATAGAATCACTGTAAGTTGGAACCGGCTCAGTGGCACACAACCAGCACTCCTACCAGTATTGTTGGGAGTCTGGGTGTGGGTGTGCTACTGTAGTATTGGACTGCTAATCACAAGGTTGGCAGTTCAAATCCACCACCCACTTCTTGGAAACGTTATACAGGGTCACTATGAGTCGGAACTGACTCGATGGCACTTAATAACAACAGTGTTATTGCCTCTTATTGAAAAAACAGTTTCCATTTTTAGCAAAACATTGAAATCTGTTTTTGTTTCTTGAATATCAAATAACATTTCATTTATTTTAGACCTTTCTATAAAAACCTATTTTCTGGTAGTGTAGTGGTTACAAATTGGGCTGCTATCCTCAAGGTCGGCAGTTTGAAACTACCAGCCGTTTTGTGGGAGAAAGATAAGGTTTTCTGCTCCTGTAAAGATTTATAGCCTCGGAAACCCTGTGCAAGGTCACTATGGGTCAGAACTGACTCCATGATACTTAACAACAGCAATAATAAAAAACTCTTTTCTTGTGGTGTTCAGTGACTGTTCATTAGTGATCTTATCATGGGTTAATAATAAATGTTAGCTGCTGGTTGTTGTTGTTATGTGCCATAGAGTCGATAGTATAATCGAAAGAGTCTTTAGTATACATATTCATAAATGTTTTCCATATTTATAATTTTTTTGTTGAAATAGGTTGTTGTTGTTAAGTGCTATTGAGTTGGTTCTCACTCATAGCCACCCTGTGTAGGGTTGCTGAGAAGCGGCTGGTGAGTTTGAACCACTGACTTGCAGTTCAAACCAGTCGTGTGGTCAAGTGCTTATCCTATGGTGCCACACCGGGTAGTGTGATTTATTTTAAGTTGCTATAAGCACAAGCTATGGATAACAGTGTGAAGAATGGGTGTGCCTAAACACTTAACTGTGCACCTAAGGAGTCTATACATAGACCAAGCGGCAATAGTTTGAAAAACGAACACTATATAGTTTAAAATTAGGAAAAGTGTACACCGGAGTTGTATTCTTTCACCATACTTATTTAGTCTGTATACTAAGCAAATTATCTGAGAAGCTGGATTATATAAGAAGGTAGTGGTATCAGGATTGGAGGAAGACTCATTTACAACCTATGATATGCAGATAATACAGTCTTGTTTACTGAAAGTGAAGAAGACTTAAATACTTACTGATGAAGGTCATAGAACACAGCCTTCAGGTTCGATTGCTCTTCAATGTAAAGAAAATAAAAATCCTCACCAGTGAACCAATAAATAACATCATGATAAATGAAAAAAGCATTGAAATTGCCAAAGACTTCATTTTGCTCAGATCAACCATCAACACTCTTGGAAACAGCAGTCAAGAAATCAAATAACATCTTGCACTAGGCAAATCTGCTGCACAAGACCTCTTTAAAGTGTTCAAGAACAAAGATGTCAATTTGAAGACTAAGTTGTGCCTGACCCAAGCCGTGGTCTTTTCTTTTTCAGTAGCTTCGTATAGATGTGAAGATGGGACAATGAATAAGAAAGACTGTAGAAGAATTGATGCATTTGAGTTATGGTGTTGGAAAAGAATGTTTTAAGTACCTTGGAATGCCAAAAGACCCATCCAGTCTGTGTTGGAAGAAGTACAGCCAGAATGCTTCTTTGAAGCTAGGATGATGAAACTTCACCTATCATACTTTGGACATATTGGCAGGAGGAACCAGTCCCTGGAAAAGGACTGTATGCTTCATAAAGTAGAGGTTCAGCAAAAAAAGAGGAAGACCCCCAGTGAGATGGATTGCCACGGTGACATTAGCAATGGGCTTAAGTGGAACAACAATTGTGAGGATGGTGCAGGACCAAGCAGTACTTTGCTGTTGTGCGTTGGGTTGCTATGAGTTAGAACCAACTTGACAGAACCTTATACCAACAAAATGGAATCCTGGTGTGGTGCTGTAGGGTCAACATTGAACTGCGAACTACAAGGTCAGTGGTTCAAACCCAGCAGCTGCTCCTTGGAAACCCTGTACAGGGTCATTGTGAGTCTGAATTGACTTGGCACTTAACAACAACAAAAATAAGTACATAGTTGAGATTTTATTATTATTACTGAGCTCAACTATTTTAGGCCTAATTTCATATTCTTACACTATAAGTAGTATTTGAATAGTTCAGAAGTTCAACTTTTAAGAAGCCTGTGATTGGGTCATATAAGATCTGTTGTTTGAATTTTCTTGTATTTATTTCTAAAGCTTTTGTGTCTTTATGCAGGACTGAGTGGACGTTTTGTAATAACCGCTCTTCCTACTATTTATCAGTAAGTATTTGAAGCTACTATACTATAGTATAGAATCCTGGTGTGGAGTTGGAGGATAAGCACTCGACTGACTGAAAGGTCGATTTGAACTGCTAGGTTGGTGCTTCCAACTCACGAGCTGCTCCTTGAATACCCTATACAAGGTCTCTATGGATTGGAACTGACTCATTGGCACAACAACAACAGTAGTTCTGGAGAAGGATACCATCATCTTGTTAAAGAACTGAGAATGTCATTATATTCACCATGTATGAGAGGGGGATTCTGAACGGTCGTGGGAAGATTCCATTATCTTTTAATTTTATTTTTACATAAAGTTTATGAAACTCTCTTGTGTATTTTTTTGTTTTTGTTAAGTGCTGTTGAGTTGATTCCGATTCATACCGACCCAGTATAGGGTTTCCAGAAAGCAGCTGGTTAGTTTGAACAGCTAACCTTGTGGTTCAGACCAACCTTGCAGTCCTGTGCTTATCCTCCAATGCCACACCTAAATTTGCTCTGGAGTCCTGGGTGTGGCGCTATAGGAAAGCACTGAACTACTAACCAAGGTTGATGGTTCAAATCCACCAGCTACTCTTCAGAAACCCAATACATGGTTGCTATGAGTCGCACCTGACGTAATAGCACTTAATAACAACAGTTTTGCTCTATTGCTGTCTCTTGTGTTTTCCGATATAAAAATATATGTGAAACTTAGTCTCTGTTCTCAGAGACTTCAGTTTTTTTGGTTGGTGATGTTCACATGAAATGGTGTTATTATCCAACATCATAAATTATTATGAGCTCAGAGCAGTGGCACAAATTGTAAGTTTTGTAGGAAGTGAAATAAGGAAGAAATCATTACAGGCTAGAGTGATACCAAGAGAATGTAGAGTTGAAACACTTTGGAAGTAGAGTACAATTTTCTTCAAAACTGCAGAGTAGCTATTCCATTCTAGGATGCTTTATGTTGTTGTTAAGTGTTGTTGAATTGGTTCAGTGATCCTCTGTAGTGTTTCCAAGGAGTGGCTGGTGGGTTTGAACCACTGACCTTGTGGTTCAAACCGACTTTGCGGTCCAGTGCGTTGTCCCACAGCGCCACACACCAGGATGCTGTATAAACAGTGATTAATAAGAGCATGCTATGTTCAAAACAGAGCTTAAGAAGTACTGTGGCAATCCTTGGAGAGACTAGTGAGTCATCTGGTTATGTGCTAAGTAAGAAGGAATGCGATTATGAAGTCTTTAGCATCAGATCATTCACTCAAGTCTATGTACCTGCGTTTTACCTTAATACTGGCTAGCTGGTGTGTTAGATACCAACATAAGCATCTATCCTCATGTCCCGTTAGGAAGACAGTAAATCGGCAATTCTTTGTCTGCGTATGTCCTGTATTATGTTTTACTGTTATTTATTAATGCTTGAAGCTGTATTTCTAATCTGTCTCCATGTGTGTTTTCCTCCCTTTTTATGTAGTCCTTTTCCCCACATGCCTCTTGATTGGCTAGGGTTCCTAAAAGCGACTGGTGGAGTTCGACTGTCAACCTTATGCTTAGCAGTCTAGTGCTGATCCTACAGCGCCACACCAAGGCTTGTAGTAGGGACTTACTGAACATTCTTGTACTTAAGTGCTAAAAATAGAAATGTGAATTAAGTAGGATTAGACTGGTTGTATGATTGAGGGTAGTTTGGAAATAGTGAAGATGTGGGAGCAAGAATTCCATATATTTGGAATGGAAAGGAAGAAGTGACTGTAAGGTAGAATTTGAAACAGACTGTAAAGTAGAATGGTTAGAAATGGGCAGAAGAGATGTGCACTGTACCAGATGATTCCAGGGATGTAAAGCTTGGTGGCTGTGGTGATGATCGTGACTTACATTTCCAACCGAAGAAGCTTTACTCATATGTGCCAGACTTGATTCTGTAACTTCTTGTGTGGTCAGTCCTTCAACGTATGTAGTACACAGAGGACTTAGCATTTCTGTGATTTATTTCCTTTATTCCATTATTTTAGTATTTGTAAGAGTAATTATAAACTCTTAAGGATTATTGCTTAAAAATGTAAACTCATTGTTTAATTAAACTTGAGGCTAAGGTATAATGAGTATATAGTTTGTCACCTGCATTACTAATAATTTTAAATTTTAGGATTGACTGTAAGATTAGGTGAAGGAATGGCTGAACAAAATCTGCATATTTGTCAGGTGCTGACTAATTTTTGATCCTCTTTAGTTGTAAAGATGGTGAATTTAGGCGTTACCAGGGCCCAAGGACTAAGAAGGACTTCATAAACTTTATAAGTGAAAAAGAGTGGAAGGTTATTGAACCTCTTTCATCATGGTTTGGCCCAGGTTCCATGCTGTAAGTATAAATGTTTTTTTTTTTTTGTTTTCTGAGAATTAATTGAAATGTAGTTGTGCTTCATATAAAGAAAGCACTCATGCTGAGTATATTACTTGCATTCGTGTGGCATATTTTGATTGCTTACCTATTCATATATTTATGATCAGAACGTATACTTTCATCGGGTTAGAAAGAGGCATTGTTTAGAATTAAGTTGAATACCTTTTCAGACATATTTTAGCTTTTTAGATATGAAGGAGCTCTGGTAGCGTAGTGGTTACGAATAAGGTCAGCGGTTCGAAACCACCAGCCACTCCGCAGGAGAAAGATGAGGCTTTCTACTCCCGTAAAGATTTACACCCTCGGAAACCCTGTACAGGGTCGCTATGGGTCGGAACTGACTCGACGGCACTTAACAACAACATATAGTCAACAGACATAATTTCCCTCAAGAGTGTGAGTAATGTAAAACTATCGTTGGACCTTAATAGTTTGAAGAAGATGCCTCAAATGTTTACCCATGCTACCGTTAGATGTCAGTTCTTGATGTTTGGTTGTTTATCCCATGTGTCTGATAACTTACATGGGTAGTTTGTATGAGCAATGTCTACTGACATGACTAACCACTTAGCTGTATGGATAGTTTTACATGAGCAGCTGCTGGGGTTTAGCCACCTCTTGGTTAACAGCCCAGTGCTTAATTCACTGCACCACCAGGACTCCATATAGCTAGCTAGAGCCTAGCTATAATTCTTTATTGCGTTTCTCCATCGTTTCTTTCTACGCCGCTGTAGGAGTAGGGAATAGCAAGCTTATTTCCTGCATGCTGTTGGGCCACAAGGCTATACTGGTCATCTGAGAGTCCTCTGGAATAGCAAGGTTTGTGGAGGTCACCATGGATTCACTCTGGTGTGGCTAAATTATCTTTTCCTGTCCTCTCACTACACTTCCCTTGGAGGATGGGGAGTTGGGATCCAACCATTTAAGAAATAATGAAAACCTGGCTTCTGGGAGTGGAAGTATCCATGTCAGCCCTGAGTAGCATTTCAAAGTAGAAGTTTATCTTTAGCACCATTCTTTGGCACTCCTCTTTCTCTTTTCCTGAGAAAATCTCTGAATTGAATTTCTCTTTAGATGTCAGAACTCCATCACCTATCCACCGTACCTAATTCAGCTAAGGAACCAACCATATACACATTATGGAATATTTCCAGCATCCCAGGAGGCTCTTTTTTTTTTTTTTTAATTAAATGTTTTATTGTGAATTATGTGATAGTTTATATGGAAGAACATTTACATTCATTCTATTGTATATCGTTTCATTGCCATGGTTACAATCCCCTCCATGCATCATCAACCAACCAAAGGGTATACTCTGCAAGCCTGCCCTCCGGTCGTCAGCACACAGCCCCTCTCTCTCTCTGGATCTAAAGTCCCCAGCTGCTCCATCTCTCCATGTCATCAGTTCTGCCTTCAGGAGGCTCTTTTAAAAAGGCTACTTTTAAAACTCCCTTCCCGTTGGCAAGGAATCTGGTGGGATGAGGAGGGTGGTGGTGTTCCAAGTGGGAAGGATTGGCTCAAATACTCGCAGTTCCTTTTGAGTGTTTTTCTTCCTGAGGTTCCCTTCTCTGTTCATTCTTTGGAGGATATTAAGGATAAGCACTGGACTACTAACTGCTTCTTGGAAACTATGTAGGGTTGCTCTTAGTGAGAATTGAGCCAGTGGTACTTAAAAACAACTTTTGCTTACTGTCAGCCTAACTAACCAACTGGTTCCATAGAGCCTGGTGGCCTATTACCCTAGAGTATGTTGGGATTTCATATAGCTTCTCATTTGATTGACCTCAAAGGGCAGAGAAGAAATTTTATTTTCACTTTTTAAAAAAAACAAAAAACACAAAATTCAGATACTAATGCCTCCTTAATAAAAACAAAAAACTTACCATACTTTTTGGAAGGATTTCTTACACATAATCAACACAAAAAAATGCTGTAATGTTTTTGTTAACAAACACTTAGAGAAGTTAAGATAGAAGGTAAATGTCAAAGCAATATGGAAGTGGTCTAGTTGTAAGTTCATTGTAATTCATGAAAAGTTATATTTCATTAATTATCATTTTTTATTATAGTAATGGAATCAGAAATGTATCACTAGTCTTAAGATCAACTTTAAAATTTGTTGTATTGGGGAAATGAAATAATAGTGTAATGTATATGTAACATGTATATATGTATACACAAACATAAACATGTTTTAGAGGTATGTATTTTATTCAACTTGTCAATCATCTCTTATTTCAGGATGAGTAGCATGTCAGCACTCTTTCAGCTATCTATGTGGATCAGGGTATGGTCTAAAATTTTATTTATAATAAATAGTTCGGGAACTATTTTAAATTGCCAGTTTTTATTTAAATTTTTCTTCTCATTTTAGACTTGCCATAACTATTTTGTTGAAGATCTTGGATTACCTGTGTGGGGATCATACACAGTTTTTGCTTTAGCAACACTGCTTTCGGGACTCTTTTTAGGACTCGTAAGTACTTCATTTTCAGAGGACTAGGGAAAAACAGAATTTTCCAAAATTTGCTATATTTGCTTGCACTAGCTATATCATAATATATGTTTAGATTTCTTACAGTGTTTATTTTTTGCAGTGTATGATATTTGTGGCAGATTGCCTTTGCCCTTCAAAAAGGCGCAGACCACAACCATACCCTTCAAGTAAGTATATTCCAAAAAAATTTTTTTCATTTCTGTAAACACAGCTACATATTTAATAGGTAGCCCTCTTCGTTTAGATTCCAAAGTGTGGAGTAGTGGTGTCTGCCAGCTATACCATGGGAAAAGAAGGGAAAAAAATATAAAAGGGACTTTAAAACGCTGGTGGAAAATGGAATTTGAAGACAATGGAATTTTTCCACAAACATTTGAAACTTCCTCATATTTTTCATGTGAGATTGGCAACTTGGTGAATTTTGGACATTGTTATTTTCTTGGCTTTCTTAATACAGAGAATGTTAACACTGAATATAGCTTGTAGACATTTAACAACGATGATCTGATGATATCTAAGTATTTGAAATTTTCATATTCATGAGTCAACTTGAATCTACTTGTCAGAAATTTAAATAATTTAAGACCCCACTCTTTGAAGTTATGTGTTACTACTGTGGCTGTAAATTCTATGCCAGCCAATTGTAATTGTTTTTACCTAGTAGAATATTAGGAAAAGTGTTTCCTATAGCTGATTGAAGGTCATCATTGATACTGTACTGTACAACGAGTTCATATAATTAGAAGTATGTGCTGTACTGGTGTGGCACTGTATGATCCACACTGGACTTGTAACCATAAGATCAGGAGTACAAACCCATCAGCTGCTCCTCAGAAACTGCATACAGGGTTGCTATGAGTCGAAACTGACTTGAAGACACTTAACAACTGTGGCACTGCAGGATAATGCACTGGACTGCAGGGTTAGTCTGAACCACAAGGTCAGTGGTTCAAACTCACCAGTCACTCCTCGGAAACCCTATAACAGGGTGGCTGAGTCTGAACTGACTAGACGGCACTTAACAACAATGATTGCTTTCTTAATATAATTACTAATCAATTGTTTAGTCTTGAAAACAATGTTAAGAAAACCCTTATCTAGCAGTTTGTAAAGCATATTCATGTATTTCTGCCTTACCCCGTTTTCAGCAGCTCTCTAAAATAAACTGCACAGATAATGCTCTTCCCATTTCATAGCTGCGAAAACTAGGGCTCTGAGAGTTAAATGATTACTCCAGAGTTACACCAAAATGACCGATCCCAGAGTAGAACGTAAGTCAGTCAGACTGTTGGTCTGGCATTTCTTCTATTATGCTGACTTTCTTGACTTAGGATATTGAGGTCAAAACTTGTGAAATAAAATCAGAAGAGAAACATTGGCTATGGCTCAAACAAGATTATACCTTGTCTGTTGAATCAGTTGTTGGTTGTTCATTTCCTAAATAGTCATATTGATACTTGACATATATAAAAACCTGTTGCTATCTAGTCAGTTCCAACTATTACAGCAGCAACTGTGTCAGATAGAGTAAAAGTGCCCTATACAGTTTCTGGGGTGTAAATCGTCACACAAGCAGAGTGCCATATCTTTCTCCCACAGAGCAGCTGGGGCGCCCATCTCTATTATTAACAGATTATGACAAGTTTCTTAATCTCTCTGAGTCTGTTTCCTCTTGTGACATGAAAGTAATGATACTTGTCCCCTTAGATTATTATAAAGCTTATAAAATAAGTCTGTAATGCTCACATTATAATATCGCCCAAAGTCACTTGGTAAGCATTCACTATTCTGATGATTATGTAATTAATTTTCCTTTAGTGTCACTACTAATTGGTATAAATACATCCTCTAATGCGCTAGTGTCCCATCTGTAGGAGGTCACATGATTGGATTTTTTTTTTTTTTTTGAGTTGTTAGGGAAAGAAACCCAACTGTGGCTTTAAGCAAGATGGGGCTTGTATAGTTCATACTCAAGGAAATTTGAGTGCAGTTGACTGGATCTATGGGTTCATATGATGTCAGGATGCTCTATAATTCTGAATTGCTCAGACTCCATAACTGGCTTCAGTTTCAGATTGGCTCTTTCCAGTCAGTAGCATGATTGTAGAAAGCGCCTAGAGTAAGAAGGCGATCCACTTTCTCATCTTATGAAAGTACTGTAATAGACTTTTCTTGAATATTAGGGCTCATTTTGTCTTGTACCGTGTAGGATATTCAGGAGCATCTCACTAGGTGCTCTCTGCCCACAATTGTGGTAACTAGAAAATTCTCTTGATACAGCCAAGTGTTCCCTAAGAGCCAGTGCTTTACATTATAGCATTCATTAGATTCACATGAGATAGGGGAGAAGCTTTGAAGCCAACTGAAAGAGGGCTGCTAGGCAGACCAAACAGTAGATTATCTACCATGCAGTGATTTCCTTCCATGGGCTCTCCAGTTCTGGATTGTCTAGGATTAGGGGCAGGCTTGAATCAATGAACAGATAAAGTTCACTGGCACAATTCTGTCTTAAGTAACAGTATGAGCTCTAAATTTAAGTTAATTAGCAGTTGTTATTGTTGTTACGTGCCTTTGAGTTGGTCCCAACTCATAGTGATTCTCCATAAGGTTTCCGAGGAAACCACCAACCTTGCAGTTCAAACTGACCTTGTGGTTGAGTGCTTATCATACAGTAAAGTCGAACATTACGAAACCAGTTTAAAAAAATGTAGACTTGTGTACAGCCTTCAATCATAGACGTCTGATTCTTAACCCCTTGGAAACCGAAATATTTTATTATACATACTATACTATACTGTACTAAAAGATTTAATAGCACATTAATATGATTATAAAGGAGTTAATGCAGAGCATTTTTTTGGACTTGAATATTCATATCATTAATTCTGGTTCACTAATTTCAGTTCAGTTTATAAATTTGGCTAGTAGAATAAATCTTCCAAACCAGTTTTCATTTTTACAGTATCTACTATTTAGAAATCCTAATTATGATAAATGCCAAACAATTTATGGGCATATGAATGAATCATTATTATACTGAATGTATCTTGATTATATGCTAGCATGATGAATCTAATGTCAAAAAAACCCCCCACATATTCGTCTTTATCTTTAAGAAAAATTATTACCAGAATCTTCTCAACCTTTGAACAAAGTGGAGGAGGAACAAGAAGCTGACGAAGAAGATGTTTCAGAAGAGGAAGCTGAAAGTAAAGACGGAACTAACACAGACTTTCCTCAGAATTCCATAAGGCAGCGTTCTGTGGGCACTTCGCTCACCACGGATAAATTGTAGTTTGTTTTAATGAATATTTTTTAATATTATGATTTTTCACAAACACAGAAGATTGACCCTTTCTTTTGGTTTGGAGTGAATTGGAATTTACTTGTACATTACAGGGTTCAGTCTAGATTGCCATTAATTAGATTGAGCGATCTTCAGAAAATAGTTGTACTAGTTATAACGTTTGAAATACGATCTATGAACAGCATGGTGGTTTAAACAACAATTCTTTAATCTTTGAAAAATCTGGTGCCAAGCAGTAAAATTGAGTATGTTTGTTTAATAACTTGTTTTTAAGTCTGAGTTGAGAATTTACATTTTCCAAGAATTGCATTATCGAGGTATTTAAGAAGTACTAACGAATTTACTTTAGAGAAAAAGATTTCTCATTTGATACAGTTTTTCTTAGTTTCACTGTGTGAATAAAACAAACAAACATATTTCCCATAAGTGGGAATTTTGCCCATTGTCTCAAGAAATGTATATTTCAGTGACAACTCTGGTCTTTTTAGAGAGCTAGTTCAAAATTTCCTCAATTTTAGATGATGCAGCTAATAAAAACTATCTTAACTTTAATTATCGTTTTCTACATAGAGTGGTAAGTCAGGATATGGTTTAGGTAGCTTTTATAAGTGTAGGGTGTTGTACTGATTTTGATAAAGGGTGTTGATTGCCTCTTTTTTGCCCCATGTTCAGTCTGTTTGTATTTTTCTTGTTTGCCGTGGTTTACTTTCTTAATTTCTCAAATGTAGATGGAAATTGTCTGGAAATTTTTCCATGGTTTAGTAGAGAGTACTTTTTTCTTTCTTAAACAAATAAAGTTTACTGAGGGATCCTTAAAATTGAAGAGCTATCTACAGAATATTTAAAAATTTGGCCACTCATCTCAGATTTTACATTATTCTTGTTAAGCCTCTACTTGAAATTTTCTTTTTTTCAACATTCCTTCTTTTTCTTTGGTATGTGGAAAAGCCTTAAATTTACATTTTTAAAGTTCACAGAAACTTAATTTACTATAAAATAAAGTTTGCATTCTACTCAGAAAAAAGTATGTTTTCAGTGTTTTTTTGTCCCCATGTACAGGAAATTCTTAATTGATTTTACAAAATCAGTATATGCTTGGTGGTTTTAAATCATAATATGTTCGTGAAAAGATCTCTGTCTTCTGTACCTGCTTGCCTTCTGCTGTGTGGTATATGACAGGTGGAAGTGAGCAGGATGGAACCTTCAATACTTTTTTAGTCTGTAAAGAAATAGAACACAAAGTTTTTCACTTTATAGGAAAGGAGAGGGCAGTGGGGGAGTTGCATCAGCCCCAGCAGGAGGAAAAACATTAGCCTTTGAGTGAATCACCTGTTGATTATTGAAAAGCTGGCTTCCATCATGTCCCCTTTCTTCTAGGTTCTGCTGCTGTGTGTGTGTGCATTCACCAGATTTATAGTTTCATATTGTACAACACTTTTCTTTTAAAGACCTCACTGGAATGTTCAATATATTCTGCCATTGAGAGTTTGGATGTATAATCGTTTTGTAATGCTTTAGAAAAATTTTCTTAGCACGAAATAAACTTCTTAAAGAACTTCACTTTAATGACTGAAGTGTTATTTTTAGTGATATCTCAAATACTCTAAATTTTGCTGTATTTAGGCTTCAACAAGTTTGGAAAAATGGAATTAAGAAATGAAATTTCTACACAAGGTTTTGAAGCCCTCTTTTTTACACATATTTGCTTGATAACGTGTGTTGAAAAGATGATTCAAATAAGCATCTTTTTTTCTGTTAATAATCCTTATAAATCAAGTATTCTGATTTTTGTAATAGTCCAGTTGTTGCTACTTGCCATCGAGTCAGTTCTGACTCATAGCCACCCTATACAGGGTTTCTGAGAAGCGACTGGTAAGTTTGAACCACCGACCTTGTGGTATCGAATGCCTTTCCTACAGTTGCACATCAGTACTCCATGGAGATAGCATTATAAATTTCAAGCTTTAAATAACTAGAAAAAATCAGAAAACAAGACTTGTCCTCACAGTTCCTCAGGATTGTCACTAGACATCTGAATGGGCAAAGTGGGAAAGTATATATATATATATTTGTATTTGAAATGTTTGAGAACAAGTTTCTTTATAAATTGTAAGAGAATTTGGCCCATGTTCCTTTTCTGGTTGATTTTTCTGTTAATTTCTGCACTATGTGTAAGCCAGTGGAGAAGTGGGCATTGGTTCACATACTCTTGAAATCCAGAGAACTAATGTACCTACTTCTCTGGATTAATAAGAAAACCAAAAAAGGTTTTATAACGATATATACAACTGTGAATAGATACAGTTGTTTCCGACTCAAGACAATCCCATGTGCTACAGAGTAGAACTCCATAGGGTTTTCTTGGCTGTAATCTTTATATAAAAGCAGATTACCTGGCCTGCTGCTGAACTGCTGAACAGATTTGAGCTGCACCACTGAATCAGTATTTTCTTTTAGAAGGATCAGCACAAAGCTGGTTTCTATGAGACAGAAGTTGAAGATGTCCCAAATATCCAGCTTTTCTAAACTGTACCACTGTATTGTTTCTACCAGAAACCATTCCTCCCCACAGTGTTCTCTGCCCTGCCATCAGGCACTATAATTTGCTGCAGTGTCGCAGAACTTGCAAACCAGCAAGAGAATGGCTCACACGGTTATGGAAGCTGGCAAGTCCCAAGCCTGGATCAGGTGTCAGTCTGAAGGCCTCTTGATTTGTGTAGTTGTAGGGGTTGAGGAACCCATATTAGGTCAGGTGACCAGACTGGCTCACAAGGCTATGGAGAATCAGGTCAGATGAAAGGCTGCTTTGCTGAAGGAGAAGAATTTATGCCAGAAGATGAGCCAGATTGCCATGCAGTGCATTATTTTAATGTCTTCTGTCTGGTTCTAGGGAGGCCTGGTGTGGTGCTGTGGGTTAAGGCACTGGACTGCAAAGTCTGTTTGAACCACAGGGTGGGCGGTTCCAGTTCACTAGGCACTCCTTGGAAACTGTACAGTGCTGCTATGGTCAGAACCAACTCGATGGCACTTAACATCTGGTTCTAGGAGCCCTGGTGTGGTCCAGGGTAAGCACTCCTCAGAAACCCTGTAAGGGTCGCTATCAGAACCTATTCGACAGCACTTTAACCACCACAACAAGCTGGTTCTAGAAAAATGCACACGTGAAGAAAACCCATTGTAAGAAATGAATGCAAGGAAAATGCAGGGACAAAGCCTGGCCCTAGTGAGCATATGGACACCTGGGGTGGCACTGAAGGACAAGCACTGAACAAGAGGAGTAGTTCAAACCCACCAGCTGCTCCTCCACAGCACTTAACAATTGTTAAGTGTTAATACTAGACTCAATGAAACCTTTTTTTTTCCTGTTAATACTGCAGTTCAAACTAACCTTGAAGTCCAGCACATTAACCCACAGCACCACACCAGGACTACCTCAACAGTTAGTATAGGATTTTTTTGTGTGTGTGGGCTTGTTTTTGGTACAAGTTTTTCAGGCTACCTTCTAGCCACGGTTTGTAAACTCCCACCAAATGAATTTTTCCTGATTAGGTGTGGGGAGATGCTGATAGGTGATATGATTCAGCTGTAATTGTTAACAGGGCTAATTATGATTGTAAAACCCTGGAACTCTAATGTGTATAAACTACGCCATCTCAGAAGCAATGGTGAGGGATGGGAATCTCATTATAATCAGGAAGAAAGCTGCCATTGGAGTGTGTGCTTTGGAACCTCAGCTCTCTGTACATTGAACCTGGACCCAGGGACAGAAAACTGCCACTGGGGGAGTGGCAGAGGAGCAGCAGAACCAAGAGCCAGAGTGGTGGGTTTGCTTCCTCACAGAACAAGTAAAGGTGAGACTTTGGACAGGGGACTTGTTTGCTAGGCACTGAGTTAGAGCTGAGTGTCTTCACGTTAAGGTTTATGGTGGAGTGTACCCTGTGAGCATTTATCTAACAGCCCTATAAGAGCTTTGTAATACTGTGGTAGTAGGCCAGAAGCCAGGCTAATGGACTGAGTGACATGCCTGCCTGCCTGCCTGCCTGCATAATCGGAGAGACTGTGCTGACGGGAGAATTGTGTTCTTTCTGAATGTGTTCCTTAGTGTAACCTATTGGCTGTCCTAATAAACCTCACAACTGTCAGACTGGTATCTGAGTTTTGTGTGGCCATCTCAGTGAGTTATTGAACCCAGTTGAGTAAAGAGTTCTATGGGGAGGGATGGTTGGTAACGTTTTCTGCACAGATGCAAGAGCAGTCACGTATTGGATGCAGGCCAGACCTTCACGGTAACTCTTTACTTGAGCAAAGTAGTACAAGAGTTTGAAAGGGTAGTGACTGGGGTAAGGAGGCAACTTGAGTTATACCTGGTCAACCTCATTAATGTAATGGGCAATGCACTCCAAAATGGGGCCCATAACTGCAGGCATATTGTTAAGGCCGTTGAGTCGGTTCCGACCCTCTGTAGAGTCTGAGGAGTGGCTAGTGAGCTTGAACTGCAGTTCAGACAGCTTTGCAGTCTGGCACATAAACCCACAGCACCACACCAGGACTTCAGCTGCAACTATCGGGCCTAAGATTTCCAGCACATCACAGAATGGAGGGTTGACTAGGACCACAGGAAGTAATTCACTGCACTGTAGCCACTAAGAGACCTTATAAGGATATGGAGTCCCTGGGTGCTGAAATTCTGAGCTACTAAAAACTGGATCATTTAAATCCAACCAGAAGTGCCTCCGATGAAAGACGTGACGTGTTTTTGAAAAGTCACAGACATGACAAACCTATAGAGCACAGTTTACAGTGTAAGGGTCTCCATGAGTTGGAATGACAACTGATATAAGGACATGTTAAGTGCCATCGAGTCAGTTCCAACTCATAGAGACCCTGTATCCAACCTTGCAGTTGAAACTGACTAGGCAGACCCCCACGTTATCCTGCAGTGGCACACCAGGACTCCATAAGGACATGTTATTGCGCAGTGCTGTTGAGTTAGTTCTTACCCACAGCAACCCTGTACAGGGTGTCCAAGGAGGGCTTGGTGAGCTTGAACCACCAACCTTGTGGTTCGAACCGACTTTGCAGTCCAGCGCACTAGTCCACAGTGCTGCACCAGGA